AAAAAAAATGGAATCGATCACGAAGAGATTTAACCGGTCTTTTCCGCTTATCAACATCCGTGTAAACCCTGTTATCCCCAAGAGAAATACCACCACGGATTCTAGCTGAAGTACTCGCCGCAATCCAGACCATGAGCAGCTATCGCTCCGGGACCGGACTATGTTTCGGTCGACCTCTTATGAGCTGTAGGACATCGCCTATACGAGATACTTGTGGCACAACTGATCTCCTACCTTTAAAGGGAAAGCATCCCTGACCAGTGGAAAGCCTCTCAAACAATCCCTCTTCACAAAAAAAGGCGATAGGGTGGATTTTCGAAACTATCCAATATGCCTTCTGAGCGAGCTTCACATGCTTTTCAAGATCATCACTCGTATATCAAGGACACTGGAGAAGCCCAACCTGTAGAACAAGCTGGATTTCGTACGTGATTCAGCTGCATGGATCACGTCCAGAAGGTTTATAGAATCGTCGTTTGCCGAGAGTACTGCCTAATTCCCGTCCTAACCTTGGTCGACTATGAGAAAGCATTTGACAGCCGCGAGACTAATGCCACTCTGTCAGCACTCTTCGACCAAGGTGTGGACCCATCCTACGTGAAGACATTAGTCGACTGCTACAAGGACTGCTCTACGACGCTACAGCTTTTCCATCGTCCCCTTGACATACCATTCTCTGGGGTTGGACAGGGCGACACCGTGTCCCCAAAGCTGTCTACCACCGCCTTGGAGTAGGTAATGAAATCACTGAATGAGAAAGAGAGGGGTAAGCGAGTTAATGGGAGATTCCTTTCAACCTTTGTTCTACGGAAGACATTGTTTTCTCTTCGAGGACCACTGAACCGTTCGATGAACATGAAGAACGATCTGATAAAAGAACTGAACAAGACGCAAAGAGCAACTTGGACCGTCCTCGAACCCCTCAAGGAAGCCACAGACCAATTGACAGACCCGGAGTTCCGAGCCCCTGTTCGATTCAACTGTTCTCTGCTACGAAGCAGAGACGTGTCTAACATTGTGGGTACGTTGAACGCACTCCGAACAACTCCCAAAGCATTATAACGACATCTTCTGGCGTACAACCGACGTACTCAACGTCTCGTCGGACTTCGCAGTTCAGATATGAAATCAATGTCTCGTCTTCGCAATCCAGCGGTATACGTCTTTAAGGAAACATCGATCGGCTGGTCATATAATGAGAAGGATAGACGACAGATGGACAATAAAACTCTGGAATGGAT